TGTTGCATTATTGGTTCCTCAAAATGTTTCGATGATAAACAGCTTCTTCAGGAGGATTCCACACCATAAAAGATGCTATTAAGGCAAGATTCAAAGACATAATAAAATAAATTACATTTTGCCATATATAATGTCAGTAACAATCTTACAATGGGACCAGCTTGTACAGGGTATGTACTCACATGACTTTTCCAATGCTCGACTGTCCAATCCTTGTGTTCCTGTGTGCGAATTGGAGACGTTTTATCTTGTTAACGGCAGACCGCAGAGGTGTTCGAACAGGCCTTCGTCTTCCATGTCCCATTTGATGCAGTGTACGGCGAACAGTGCGTTCAGAGATCATTTGAGAGGATCCCTGATTTAAGATCTGCAGTAATTTGATGCACTGTTGCCCTTCTGTTGTCTTGTACCAGTCTTGCCACTTCTCCATTCTGCCCTAACATTGACTAGTCGCTGGCGGCCACAATTCGCACGTTCAGACCCAGATTTTCGGGTGACAGTCCAGTCTTTAAACACTTTAACAACAGCTGCTCTTGAACATTTAACAAATTCTGCTGTTTTGCTGATACTCGCTCCATGGCTCCGAGCGCCAACAATCACCCCACTTTCAAAGGCTGTTAAATCGTGTTGTTTACCCGTATCTTCAGAAAGAAATCACTTCTACAGTCGTGGTAAACAACCTGCTTCCCTATTTATAATGGTCTGGCCCTCTAGCAACTTCAGCGCGAAATTATAGCTAATTATAGCTAATTTGTCTACAAACATCAGGTGGTCATAATAATCTGGCCACTCAGTGTATATCTATGTTCATATGTGCACCAGTGCCAGTTGAAAGCCCCCTCCCCTAGGTTCTAACAACCGGGTGGTGCTAAAAGAATTTCTGTTCTCTGTTATATACACTGTATGTATATATGGGGTGATTTACTCACGACCTTCCTCTACTCTTAATGCCCTTGATATTTCTGTGATACATGGGAGATGAAGTTTAATATTAAAAGATGTAAAGTTATGCATTTGGGCGCTAAAAATATGCATGCAACATAATCTTTGGGAGTAGCTCCTCTGGGTGAACCTGTGATGAAAACAAATTGAGCAACAGCATGCAATACCAATCTGCAGCTAACAAAGCTAGAAGATTAATCGCTTGTATTCAAGAGGGAGTATATTCCAGTGTTACATTTATAGTTCTGAATATGCAGTTCAGTTTTGCCCACCAACCCACAGAAAATATGTCCTTCAACTAGAAAGAGTTTAGAGCAGGGCATCAAAATTAATAAGGGTTGGAGGACCTCCGTTATGAGCAGGGCCTGAAAATTTTTAGGGTGTCTCACCAGTCAGTCAAAAATGTCACCAGTCAGCATGACCGGACTATAGCCTTGCAATGTATTTTAACATTTTTTTAGGGACACATAGAGCTTTTGTTTGGTGGTATTTTATCACCACTGGGGTTTTTATTTTTTGATATATAATGAAAAAAGTACCGTAAATTTAGGGGGGAAAAAGTTTTCCCTGTGTTATGTTAAAAAAAACATTTATTCTTACCCATATTTTTGGTAAAATATAAAAGACGGGGTCACGTTGGGTAAATAGACACCAAAATATAAATATAATGTGTGTGTGTGTGTGTATGTATATGTATGTATGTATATATATATATATAATT